GGTGTTGTTGAAGGTTTTGCTCACAATTGGTCCGATAGTGACAATCGGGATAATCGCAGCCAAACGGCCTGTCCGTGGAGTGAGTTTGCATGTGTCGGTCTAAGAAGTGTTTCCGATAGAAACCTCTTGTGTTACCGCAGAGGGGATACGTGCAGAACAGTGTCCGGTGTCTATGACAGCACCGGACGTGATCTTTAAGCCCTGGTTGGTTCGTGAAGTTTGCCGTACACTCGGACTCAACACATTTGTATCGTCTCGAACTCATAACTCGTGAGTGTTTTGGTTTGTGTTTCGCTTTCAAACGTGTCTTCACTTTCCCGCTGTTGTCAACACTTCCGATACAATTATTGTCTAATTTATTGTCATTTGTCTTATCAGTAGATTTTGGGCTTTTGTTTGTGACACACTTTCTCGACGATTGTCTCCTTTTGTGTTGTGATGCTTAAGTTGTAACCCAGGTTATTAGAGTGCAAGTGATAGGGTGGCATTACAAACAATGTATGAGACGATAAAACTAAAAATTTCATTTCTAATCACAAAACTTTAAAACATACTATCATTTCAAGTAATGTTTGATTCAATATTTTTATATACATAACATTAAACCATTTTATAAATTAGTAATAAGTGATTATTAATCACATATTTAATGATTTTTATCATCATTTTTGTCACAATTTGGTGTTTGAATGGAAGACAAACCAGTTTTCTCTTAAAATGGATTTAATTATTGTACTAATTGTTTGTTTCAATCATTTTGTGTGGAAAATGTCTTAAATTTATAGTAAAGACTTTCGCTAAATTTAGTGACGGTTTGTGGGAAATATTATTTTATAGTTATTCATATGATTTGACATCTAATCAGTGGCTAATTGTGCTGTATATGAGAGAACTCGTGGCAAATATTGACAACAAATTAATTAATATAATGTGTCGTGAAGGGAGAGGTTTTCAATAAATTTCTAATACAAAATATTGAATGTATCTAAACATTCCTTAATTTTTCTGTCCCCCACATTTTTGCCCCATTTTAAGCATGACTACTTTTGTGTACATCTTTGCCATCAATTGATTGTCCCAACTCTTGATGACAATCGCTGTCATTGTGTTTGTTTTCAATCTTGTGATTGTCTTGTGATTGGCGTCCAAACGAGTGGTCATTATTTGTCTCAAAATGTAGTGACAATTGTCTGAAGTGTTGTTTGTCTTCACAATCGATAAGTGTTTCATATTTTGAGTGAATTTCAATTAAATGTGTTTTCAATTTGTTTGCAAACAATAACTCATTTAATAGTCGTTTGTTTTCAACCATTAATTCATCCAAAATATCATTAATACTAATAATTAATGACTTTTTTCTATCCATTAAACACACAATTAAAATAAATAGCAATTAAACTAATCGTGAATTAAACTCAAACCACTCTTCGTGTGTAAAATTATAGGCAATAACAGAGAGTCACGTGATTTGCATGTGTTGTCAATGTTGTCATAATTTCTATGACAATAGCATTCAATGTGTAAACAAAAAATTAAATTATTGTAAATTGTATTTGAAATAAGTTTAAATAAATGAATGATTTCTCTATTAATATAATGTCTAACTATAAAGGATTTAGTGTTAAACCAATTGAGAGTAAATTGAATGCAAATAAAACCCGAAATAAAAAACATTTGAGACATAAATCGTTGAAACGAAAGGGTTTTGTTGTGACCAACAGTTGCCGTGAAATCAATGGGAATTGTCGTCAAAATAATAGTTTTAATGAAAATAATTTATTAAATAATAATAATAACAGTATTTGTGATGAAATCAATTCAATTAATAATAAAGGATTTGCTGTGAAAGTGGTGTCAAATGGGAGTGAAATGAATTCAACACAACAAGTATTATGCGATAAACCCGTCGATAGTAATGACACAATCAGTGATTACAGTGAATGCAATGAAAGTTTCGGTGATATGAATGATAACGTGATTGAAAGTAAAGTTACAATTAATGATAATAACGATAATAAGCCAAACAAACGGCTTATAAGTGACTCTCCATTACATGTATTAATTCCTCACATATTTACGACTCCTGAAGACCTGAAACTCATTAAAGACAAGAATCTTCGGGTAATTACGGGTCGGTTTAGCGCCGAAGAGACCAAAATTTTGTTAAATAATTGGCAAACATTTTGCGATGAGTTTAACTGCGATGAAGAGATGAAAATACGTTTATTGAGATTGTTTGCACTGAGAGAGCGGTTTAAATACACACCAAAAAACCGACGGGAATTCATAGACTTTATGGACGTCAATGACTTTTACCTGCGGTTAGCCAACGGTCTGCCGCACCGGACCATCAAAAACGTGTGGCAAAAGGCCAGAGCGATGTGTAATCCGTTGAGCGATTTGTGCGCCGACGACCGCAACCGTATGCTAGCCCTGTATTTCCGTTACGGCCGCCGGTGGACCACCATTGCCGAGATGTTGCACTGCAATCCCATTTCGGTGTACAACACGTTTATCGCCTATTATAACAAATACGGTCAGCCGTACGACAAGACCCGGTGGACAGTCGGCGACGACCGGCGCGTCATTGAGGCCATGAAGACAGTGTTGGATTCGGACGACTTGTCTCAACATATATTTACCAAATTTATCAAATCTCGTGAAGTGAGAGATTTGGCTCAACTCAATAGGAGTGAAGTGGATGTGAATCATCACTGGAAGCGCAATCTTCGGTGGAAAGTCGCCCACTTTGATGAGTTCGCCGACAAGTGGTCGGCCGGCGATACATCCAAATTGATTTACTGTCTCTTTAAATACGATTTCGACGACGAGTTGGCCATCGATTGGGATCTACTGAAGGAAATGTTCGAAAACATTTCGTCGTTTAATAATTTGATGAAAAACTGGCGCTTAATTAAGTCAACGGTTCCCGACTATGAGACCAAACCGTATGAAGAGATCATTGGTTTTCTTTACGACAAATATTTGCCACAATTTATTAAAACAACCGAAGATTTACGAGAGTTAGAGGAGTTTTATAATCAATAAACCATTAAAATATTTTGTAATTTTTCATAAAAATACTTTTATTTATAAACCGTTCATTTGAATCGAAAAAAATAAAAAATGATTTTTTAATAATAAATATAATTTATAAAATGAATATTAAATGACATGCAATATGTGGCCCAATTGGTGGTTCGAGCCGTCCGTCTCATATTATTTATAATGTTATGTCATGTGTTATACAGTAAGTGACTACGAAGTGAGTGTTTGTTAAGACACTCGTGGTTTAGGCACCGAAACTCACACCAAGGTTTGTGACATTCATGCGGTGCTTCAAATGGTTTGGCAATTATCTGCAAACCGTGTACTCCTTTCATGTGAGCTCTCAGTATATTAATATAAGTGTAACCCTTGTTTGGACAGTCGGTTACGGGACACGTGAACGTCCCGGTCATCGGTGGTTCTCTCATCTCATCCACACTGTTATAGTGTTGTCTTAAAAGCCTAAACAATTGTTCAGAGAGTAAGTCCTCGTGCATTGGACGACAACCGTCTTCATTGCAATAGTCGTCGCCATGTCTTATAATTTTGGCATTTAGTTTAAATGTGGTCTCAGTTTTGCGGCGCTTAGCTTTTGATTTGGGTTTTGCCACTGTTTTGGTGTTCATATCGTCATTACATTTCGTATCGTTATTATTATTATTAAACAATTTGTCTCTCAACGAGTCGAGGGCTGAGGCGTTGTTTTTAAAGCATTCCTCTTGTATTGTAATCTTATCTGTTTTGCCATCAATTGATTGACTGGATCTGTGACTGCGGTCATCGGTATTATCGTTGACGGTATGATTGATGTTGTAATTGATGTTCAATTGTTGGCAAAAGTCGGGTAAAGTCTTCATATTGTGATCACATATTAAATGTTTAAAAAGATCGCTATAATAAGTGAAGGGAATATCGCAATCATTTTTCCAACATTTATATCGTTTTATAGCATTGGATGACAAAGAATTGATGCATTCATTCATTGCATCTCTATTTGGATTCACTTCACTCGTCTCCGGGCGTACATCGGGTCCAACAGTACAGACATCGGTCTGAGATCTGCCACTAGTAGTGGTCACTAATGTTTGGCTCAATTGCTTTAATATCGTTTCATTTGTTTCATTGCTTTCACTATAACTGTCTGTCTGTGGATAGGAATCAGTGTCTGACGTCTGGAGCGATGATCTGTTGCAACTGTTTTGCAGATATTTGTAGACATCGTTGCCGTGAATATCAATATAGCATTTGTTAACATCTGATGACATATTTTGGTCCAAATCTTCATTTATTTCTACTTTTATCTCACGATTGCATTCCTCGACACTTATGTCACCAAAAGAGTTGTCCGTTTGTCGAGTATTCTCAAGAGTTGTGCCATCAGTGAAGTCAGTGATTGAGTTGACATCAGTTGTCATAAAATGTTTGGATAATTCCTCGAAGTCTTGAATGTCTTCCCATTTCATAAGATTTCCATATTTTGAGTGAATTTTAATTAAATGTGTTTTCAATTTGTTTGCAAACAATAACTCATTTAATAGTCTCTTATTTTCAACCATTAATTCATCTAAAATATCATTAATACTAATAATGACTAACTTTTTACTATTCATTAAATCCATAATTAAATATTTAACTCGAATTCAAGTTAAACTAATGGTTAAAATGAAATAAACATTAAATGTATAAATTTTATAAACAAACATTTAAACATAAGGGACTTTTATGTCATTTATAGACATTTTAAAAGTTTTAGCGGTAAATGAATTATTCATTAATTGTTTGTGCGATCAATTGATTATAAATTGAATTCAATATGTTTTATATGATTGGTATAAAAATGATAAATAAACGCATAATTTTAAAGTCAATGCATAAAACAATTGATTCACAAAACCAAACAAAAAACAGCATTTTGTGAATGAATGACACGATTAATAGTAAACACAAAAGACATGCGCGAAACACGTGACCAACAGATTGTTTACTTCAGTGAACAGCACATGTACTTTGAATACACAACCACTCGTGTCTTTGGATGACAATTGATCCCATAATCTCATTGTCCACACCATCTGTTGCTCCAGATGTCACTCAAGAACATCCTATCGCTGAAAAAGTACTCGTTTCTGAAGCAACCGAAGGGATCGCCAAATGTGTTGTTAACCCCATTATCGCAACAAATCAAACAAAACATTGCATTTGAATGGTTTGAATATAATATTGAATTTTGTTGTCTAATTGTGTGAATAGTTTTATAATTAATGTTATGATTGTTAGGATTAAAAGTATCAGGAAATTACCATCAGTGGAGATGTTTGTCACGCCTTTCATTACACACACGGAACCGCCGATCGGTGACCAAAATAACATGAATGATGTTTTACTTAAATGTATGGATCAGTTGATAGGATACTAAACAAATGGCGTGTATTTTACTAATTGTTTGTTACAATTGATAGCAATTTTAGACGATTATAACAACTATTATAGGTTGTGGAGCGAAGGCATGACTGAAACCGTGGGTATTATTCAACGATTTGTATGTTTGAATGAAAATAAATTTTTGTAAGTTTTTGTAACTAATTTATTGATAAAATTATTATTAATTCATATTTTAATGTTTGAAAATAATTTAGTGAACAAAAGACTAACGATTGTCTGGTATTTGCGCTGATTTGTCAAAAACAGGAAAGTCTTTATTGGTTTCAAAAACTACAGGGAAGTCATCACCAGTGGTTCAAAAATGTATGCAATCAATCATTTAATTGTCATTTAATTACAATATTATTAAAATTAATATTCAATTAACTTAATCTGTATTCAAACTTCACGCATAGCTATCGAAATCTCCGTTAAAATCCAAATTTTTTACTCAAATTGAAGAAATGGATCGACAAATATGTTGTATTCATTACCACATAGAGAACAAGTGTCCGCAGTTGGAGTCAATTGAACACATCAGCGGTTCATCTGTTAAGACAACACATCCGGCGTTAACCGATTCCGACATTATTTCGTGTCAAATAGATTTAGACAACTCTTTAATCGCTATATTAAGCGATGCCTTCACTACGAAGAAGTATGAGAGCGGTAAATCTG